GTACCGGGAACCGAACTCACGACCTTGCGCTTGCCAGGCAGGCGCTTTTGCCGCTGAGCTAAATCCCCAGCCCCCCAGCCTCTTTTTATGTTGAGACGGGCCTTTGCTAAGTTGCCCAGGTTGCACTCAAACTTGTGATCCTCCTGGCTCGGCCTCTTGAGTGGCTGGGGTTATAGGCATGGACCACCATACCCAGGACACATTTGCTGCTTATAGAAAATGCATGGAGAGGAGGAAGAGGGAAAGGAGGAGGGTGAGATCAATCGGAAAGCGTTTGTGCACTCATTTGTCAAGTAGCTGGGAAATGTGTGCTGTGGGGCAGGCCCTGCCCTAGCTGTTAAGGAAAGAGAAATTTCAAGCTTTTAGTACAAGGTTATGAAAACAAGAATTGCATCAAGAGTGGGCCAGGCCCTTGTGCTGGGAGCTCTGGCTGAAGAGGACCAGGGCGTGGGCAGCAGTGCTGTTGGGGTGCATGGACTGGAGGGTGAAGCCAGGGCTGGAAACGTGGGGCAGAGGCCCTGTCTTCACCCTCAACATCTGGACTCTGCACCCGTGTGGGCACGGTGTCCCCTGTATGGTCGCTGCCCGGCCCCACACATACACAGCTGCCAGGCACAGAAGAGCTCAGCAGCGTTTGTGCGGCACAGAGCGAGTGTCTGTGGCGCGCTGGAGTGGGGCTTGCGGGAGCGGCGGGGTGGGGGCCCAGCTCAGCCCAGCTCAAGAGAAAATCCCACAGGCGGGAGCTTAGGCCCCAGCAGATGTGCATCTGGGCATGTTCACCACGCCTCTTGTCCTTGATCCCGAATTAACCAGAGACACCAGGGCTGCTGAGGTGGATCAGAATGATGCAGAGGGGACTTAGCAGACAAGGTGACTCGGGATTAGTTACAGGATGGAGAGCGTGGCTTTAGAAGGGCAAGGAGGGACCCAAGCAGGGCTGGGGAGCCAGGAGGGGCTCTGGTTCTTGGCCGCACCCCATGCCCATTCCTGCTCTGTGTCCTGGAGGCTGACCCCAGAAGAAGGGACGCTTGCCCGGCATTCTGGGCCCTCTGACTCGCGTGCACAGGATGCAGGCAGAATGGTTAACAGCGGTTCTGGGGGCCTCTGTGTGGGGAAGCCTGGTTTGTAGCACCACAGCTCAAGCTACCAAGGTGACGTTATGGCATGTGGAACTGCTCAAAAGAGTGCACAGCTGGGACCCCATGCCAGCCAGCTTTCCACACATGAAGCTGACCATGAATGTCCTCGTTTCCAGCCAGGCGTGGGGGCACATGCTTGTAATCCCAGCCCTTTGGGAGGCAGAGGCAGAAGGATCCCATTCGAGTCTCACCTGGGCAATTTAGCAAGTCTCTGTCTCAAAAAATAAAAAAAAGGCTGTGGATGTAGCTGAGGATCAAGGGCCTGGGTTCAGCTCCTTCTCTGCCCAAAAACAGGAGTCCCCACTTTCACAGAGGAGGAAAGCATGGTTTGCTAGGGGAAAGAAGTGCTCCTATAACCCCGTGTCCTCCTGCCTTTAACCTCCCTCCTGGTTTAAAGGAAGAAGCCTGCATCTTTGCTGCAATGGGAGGCTGGGGCTCAGATGGCCACTGTGGGGACTGCCCTGCCCCCTCCCCTGGGGCCTCAGCAGCGGCTTGCTCTTCCTCTCTAATACAGCTCAGGGGCCGTCCCTCAGCAGGTGTCTCCCTCTTCCAGGAAACAGTGATGCCAACCCTGCTGTGTCTGAAGATGCCTTATTCAGGGACAAGTTGAAACACATGGGAAAATGTGAGTCCCGCCTGCAGCCCCCTCCCTGTCTTCCCAGCTCTTGGGAGGCAGGCGGGGTTTTGAACGCCGCTGACGCTGGGTGAACTGGAGTGACATTTTAATCTCAGGCTGGCTCCCTCAGCCTTCCTGCCTCACTTCCCTTCTGTAGCTGAGTCTGGATACAAATTAAGTTTAAATCCTCTTGGGCCAGCTGTCTGCAGGAAAATAATGTGGCCCACATGGCCTCACCCGGATGTTGTGTTCACATTCTCTGTGGCTTGTGGCAGCTGGCCCTGTCTGGCCATGTAGGGGGAGACCCTTGCGAGGCCCCTTTTGTTTGGGGCGGGGGGCCATCAGGGTTGGGGACCTCTGCGCACAAAGTCCTGCCAGCCTTCAGAAGCACTATCCTTCCAGGCTTCCTTTTTCAGGAAGAATCTCCAATTAGTCATGGAAATCCCAGGACCAACTCTGGAGTGGCTAAGGGAGGGGCAGGAAACGAAGCCAAAAGCGGGGCTGGCAGGCTGTCGTGGCTGGGGAAGGAATACCCGGATCTTGGGCTGCCCATGGGCCCTGGGCCTGGCTCTTGGTGGCCTCTGCTGCCCCTGCAGGCCAAGCTGGGATGGCAGCCTTGCTCCTGAGGTGGTGCCTGCATCTGCTGTTCTTATCACCTCCCTTCCCCAGCTCCCACCCCAGGGGCCCTGGCGCCGCCTTGGCCACCCCGAGACTCAGGGGTGGGGGGGACCCACCTGCTGCCCTCACTGCCGAGAGAGCAAACGGCTCACAGGTCTCTCTGCCCCAGCCACCCGGAGGAAGCTGTTTGAGCTGGCGCGCGCCTTCTCCGAGAAGACCAAAATGAGGAAGTCCAGGAGGAAGCACTTGCCCAAGCATCAGTCGTATCCTTCTGGCCTGGCACGGGTTGGGCGGTGCATGCTGCCTTGGCATCCCGAGGGTGGGCCCTGACGTTGGGTCCTACAGCCTCCCAGCCTCCTCTCTGCTCCACGAGCTGGGCTGCTTGGTGGCCACCTATCTCCCGGAGCACCAGGGCCGGGTTTGGGGAGCAGGGCAGAAGGAAGTTGTTTGTCCTATGATGAGGCCAATGACACTGCCAACTTTTTTTGCTTCTCCTCCTCTTTCCTGGGAGAAAAATTGGTTCTTCAAATGCGAGCAGCAAACCTGCCCCTAACTTCTCTAGCTGAACTGGTCCGTGGGTCCTCACACTTCACTGTGAGAGCCCACCTTTTCCTTTTCAGCTGCTTGAACAGCAGTGAGGCTTTTCACATTTTCATCCAGACTCCCATCCAGGTTCAAACACGGCCCAGGATATTAAAAGCTGGACAGCCACAGAGGAGCAGGGAGAAAGTCCCTCTCCTAGTCCCAGAGGTTTTCCTGGGAGCTGAGGGTCAGGGCCTGGCTGCTCCGTTAACCCCAAGAAGGGAGGCTGGAGGGCAGTGTTGGGGTGTCGAGGGACAGGTGAGGAGGCCTCCTGAGCTGAGGTTGGGGTGAGACGGGGCATGGCGGCACTGGTCTATGTCCAGGACAGTTTTCCTGAATGGCTCGGCAGGCTGGGGGCTGCTGCATCAACAGCCAATCTCCTGGATGACGTGGAGGGCCACGCTTGTGGTGAGGCTCCCGTGTGTCTGTGATGGGTGACGCTGCGAGAGGAGGCCCTGGGTGTCCCAAGTCAGGGGACCGAGTGCTGGACAGGTTCAGGCCTTTCAGCTTTCACCCAGTCTCCAAAGCCACGGGGGCCAGGAGACCCTACTAAGCCCCACCCCTCTCAGATCCTACCAAGCCACACACAGCTGAACTCTGATCCTCATGCCATAGGGCCTTTAAGGCCAGGAGACATCCAGATACAAGGACCAGAGGGCCTTGGGGGTCATCTGGATAGTCCAGCTTGCCTTCCCACTTTATAGATGAGGAAACTGAGACCCAAAGAAGAGGCAAGAACTTGTCTAAGGCCTCAGAGCCAGGCCAGCCTCCAGGTGTCCTTCTGCCTCCCACTAGACACATGCTTTGCCCCCCAGAGCCAGTATGTACCCCACTGCGGGGAGGGGTGGCAGCTGCAGCGTAGAGGGTGAGGGGGCTCCCCTCTGCTTTCAGATGAAGACCTCCGGGGAAGGCGGCAGGAGACACCCAAGATGGAGGAAGCCCTCAGGGAAGGACAGTAAGAGGTAAGTCCTGGAGCCACGGCTGTCCGCGGGCTGCCTCGTCTCACATGGCTTCCGAGGGGAACAGAGGCACCGGGCTCAGGCAGCTGAGGAGCACAGATCCTGACTCTCTTCCCTCCTCATCGTGGCCAGGGACAGGGGCTTCTGCATGCAAACTAATCTTTTGCAGCTCTTTTATTGGGTTCTTTACTCATTTGACAAAAGATCATCACACCTGCCTTGGACAGATGCTGGGAACAGGAAAATAGGATCAGCTTTTGACCTTGAATAGTTTATAACTCCACGCAGAAGACATTCCCGACCCACTCAGCACAGAGTGGACAACTTAAGAAAGACTGAGGTGGTGGGCACACATAGAACCATCTCCCAGCTTCCACATGGGTTGAGCGGTGTGGGACCTGCCACCCCAGAGCAGGCAGTCCTGTCTCCTCCGAGGCAGCTGCTTCTCCCGAGTCCCTGTGCGACCCTCTGGGGCAGAGAGCATGTGCACGGGTGGCCTCCTGCAGGACCCCGTGGGCCCTGTGATCAGCGTCTGCCGGGCTTTCTTGAGCTGTGGTGTGGCAGGTGCGGCCCTCAGGATACTGATGTGGGGGAGGCGAGGCATACCAGGTGCGGAGGACGGAGCCAGTGAAAGCAGCACCCTCTCTGCCTCTCACGTGGGCAGCTGGCCTGTCCTCCCCTTGAGTTGCCTCCCTACTGCATCCCTCCCCAGACACTTCCAGCCCTTTTGCCCTCCCAACCTTTCCTCAGTCATCACCGAGCTGCACCCCTGCTTCCCAATCTCTGGGGTGCCCAAATAAATAAAGGCAGCCAGGGAAACAGCTCCATCCCCATCCCGTGTCACAGCCATGCCCCCCAACAACAACACACACACACACACACACACACACACACACACACACTGGTGCCCAGGGAAAATGGGTCCTACCTAAAACCACCCCTACCTCAGCACCATATGCATCATTTCTGTCTCTCCTGAGTCTTCTTGCTTTTTCCTTGAATTTACTTCTTCCTCCTCCCCACTGTGAAAATTAGGCTGGTGGTGCACGCCTGTAAGGCCCAGCCAACTCCAGCTACTCTGGAAGCTGAGGCAGGAGAATCGTAAGTTTTAGGCCAACCTGGGCAATTTAGTGATATCTTGTGTCAAAAAATAGAAAGGGCTGGGATGTAGCTCAGTGATAACAACGCCCTGGGTTCAATCCCTAGCACCAAAAACCATGAGGAGCGTTTCCTTTACTGCCCAGCTAGCAGGAGGGTGGCTTCCTCCTCCACTCAGCTGAAGCCGCAGGAGAGGCCTGACGGGGAGGTCACCAGCCCACTGCCCGCCGGGGCAGCATGCTCCCTGCGTTCATCTGGCACTGCCTTCCGCACCTGTCTTTTCCTGAAACCCCTTGCTGGGTTCTGGTGACTGCAGGAGCCCTGCTGCTTCTTCCTCCCTTCCGGGCTCTGGTTGCTCCTCTCGCCCCCTGGCTGCCCACTCATTGCTCTGCCCTTGACCCTTTGAGCCTCACCCACACTCTCTGCCAGCATCGCCACCCTCTTGCATGGTGTCAGCGTCAGCGATACTGTGCGCTTGTCTCCAGCGCAGTTGCTCCTCCAGATGGGCCCTGATCCCCAGCTGCACCCGATTGTCCTTCCAGCCCTGGAGGTCAGCTCCGGAAAGCCGGGCGCTCTCTCCTCCCGCTTCCTCGTTCCATTGCCCATGTCTCCCGCCCCATAGCTCACCACCTAGTCAGTGGCCCTAGTTGCTGCCCCCCTGTTCCTCCCGTCACCAGAGCCCCGCGTGGGTCCCACTTCGCCCTTGCTCTCTGTGTGTGTCTCCTGAGCAAAGCCTCGGGAAGACCTCAGCCTGGTGTCTGGGACCCACCCAGTTCCTGCCCCACTTCGCCTTTCTGCCCTACAGACTCCCTTGGTTCAGCTCATCAAAGATCCGCCCGTGCAGCAGCGGGCACTGTCCGCCTTGGAGTGCTTCCCACACAGCCGCGTTCTCCCCACCCGACCCCTCCTGACTGTCTCCTGCTGCTGCTAGCAGAGCCATTGCTGTTCTGGAGGCTGCTAGGATGACTCCACGCAGAGTTGCCAGGTTATAGCCCCTGGAGGAAGGCGAAAGGAGAAAGAAGAAAGGCGGGAGCTCCCGATTTTTGTATCTTCTGCTAAAAGTATCTCTAGAAACCAAGGACCAAAAAAGTGCCTCCCCCTGACTGGGAAGTGAACCCAGGGCTTTCACACTAAGTTGAGTCCCCAGCCCATCTGTCTTTGACTTTTTATTTTGAGATAGGATCTTGTTAAATCACTAAGTTTTGCCTGTGCTGGCTGAACTTGTGATTCTCCTGCCTCAGCCTCCCAGGGTGCTGGGATTACAGTTATGCACCACCATGTCCAACTAATGGGCTCCTTTGAAAAAAGACTTCACCCATCCCTTTTTCCTGCCAGGTGCCAGCAGCTCCACCTCTCTAGGGATGCTCTGACCCGGCAGGGGCAGCTGGAGAGCAACGCGGCACCCTGCTGAAGGGCCCGGATGCAGCCAGACTGACGGTGCTTGATTCGGAGGCCGGGTGGTCCTCCAGCCATGGTCCAGCCCAGCCACTGCCACCTTGCACGGGACCTAGAACTTTGGAGTCGCCATCCTATGATTGGAGGAGGGACCTGGGGCCCCTAGAGGGCAGCAGCCAGGCTTTTCTACAGCCGTGGGTGGCAATGCAGGAGTCACGCCTTTCTTTCTTAAAAAAAAAAAAAAAAAAAATCTGAGGAAGTTCAGAGGCCGGAGTTTGGGAAAGGGCAGGATCACCCTAAGCAGGCTCTCGGCTGGAGGTGAGCTCCTGCCTTCTTCCCTCCGCATCTCTCCAGCCGGGCGTCAGACTGCCTCATCTCCTACCCTTGTGTCCGGCTCTCTAGGCACCTTGGGCCCCTTCTTCCCAAGGCCACCTGCATCTCAGCCTTTCCCGGGGGCTGCAGGGCCACTTGGAGCCGGGGGGGGGGCAGTGGCGCTCACCAGCGTGCCCTGAGGGGCGACCCTCAGCACCCCGCTTCCTCCCAATGGGGTGGGAGGAGCTGGAAGACTCTGGCCAGGCAGGGTCTGTCCCCTAAGGGTGGGCCGCTGGGGGCCGAGAGTGCCGCCTTGGAGAAGGGGCAGCACCGGGTGGGGGCAGCTGCCAATAGCCAGGAGGTGATGGGAGGAGGAAAATTGTGACTCCACCTATTCTTAACCACAAGGCCACTGCTAAGCGGCGGAGGCGCAGCTCTCCCCGGACTGGAGCGCAGCGGGTGCAGCTTCCGCGCGGGGTTGTGGGTGGTGGGGCTGGGAGTGGGATCCGATACAGTATTTGTTGGGGCATTGGTGGCCGTGAGGTACTGGGGCGTGGCGAGGGTGAGCCAGGACCTTGCCCTGTTCTGCGCCCCTCATCCCCTGCACCTCCGCGACTCTGGGGCGGCCAGGCAGCGTGAGGAAGTTGGGAAGCACGGAGCTGGGGGCTTTGGTCATGAGCCCTCCTACGCTCTTGGCTGGTTCCTGGCATGGCCCGGCGCACTGAAGGGACGGGGAGCCCCCAGCCGCTAACTTAAGCTCCAGACAGCCTGATCCCGAGGGGCAGAGGAGGGGCTCTGGGCCGTGACCCTGACTTCTCCCCGGCCAGGGCCAGGCTCAGCGGGAGTAGCCCCAGCCCCAAGTCTCTGTGTGTTGCTTTATTATTTTTTCCTCCTATGTGTGGGTTTTTTCTTGGAACTGTTTCATAGGAACTCCTGTAATAAAGCCTTGGTGTTCTCTTGGTGCTCTGATGTGGCCTGCTGTGGGCTGGATCCCCCTCTTTGTCTCGTGTCTCTGTCGGGGGACAAGTCTCGGCCACCTGAGATCTGTGTCCTGCCCTCAGGCCACCTGCTTCTGCCGCCCCGCCCCCAGCATTTCCAGGCCTGAAGGGCTCTGAGGGCACCGTCCCTGCTGCACTCCCCAGGTGACACCTGTTGCACCACAACCTCACCGACCTGCTGGCTTTGTCCAGCGCCTTCGGCTTCCTGTTTGCAGCAGAATGTCAGCCGCTTGCTGATAGGCAAAGGAAACGCCTGGGGAAAGCCAGTGTATTGCGAAAGCTGCCTCTGGGTCAATTGCCTAAACAAACAGAAGGCTTCTGGATTAAAGGCAACTGGAGGGGCAAGGGCCTGTGAAGTCAGACTTCAAAGGGAACACCGAGACTGTCCAGCTCCCGTAGCTCTCTCTAGCTTTCTCGAATCCTCTGCTCCCCGGCTGGCTGAGGAGTCCCCCACAGGACAGGAAAAGAGGCTGCCAGCAGAGGAAGCTGGTGCTGTTTCCAAACACGGCCCCTCTGCGGGTTAAACCTTCTGCCTTGTGGTGAGCCCACGGCTTCCCAGTAGCTTCTATCTTGCTCTTGGCCTCTGGTCACCATGGCCAAGCCTGCCTCCCGCCCCTCTAGTGCCATGTTCCCAAGCAACCAGCTTTTCCTTCTGCCCTTTCTCTTCTGGCCCCACCCACCTAACCCAGGTGGGCTTGAAGAGTGACATGTCTGGGACAGCGGGTGACCACCCTAGCTGATTCACTGACAGCTGCCCACCAGTGTAGGCCTTGGAGCGTAGCCTCAGTCCTGGGACTTGTTAGAAAGGCTGAGTCCCAGGCCCGGCCCAGCCCAGCCCTGTGAGTCCGAAACTTGGGTGAATTAGTGTGATTGCACTGCACACTGAAGTATGGGAGCCGTGTATCAGCATGCAAAAGCTTTCTAAAAAATTCTGTAGAGGCCGGGGATGTGCTTATTGGTACTCACCTGGCATGCAGTAGGAGCTGGGTTTGATTCCTAGCACTGGGGGAGAAAAAGTGGAGCTATATCTTTGTAGTCAGGCTTGGTGATGCATGCCGGTAAGCTCAGCACTTTGGAAGCTGGTGCAGGAGTATAAGTTCGAGGCTAACCTGGACAAATTAGTGAGACCCAGTTTCAAAAAGGACTAGGAGTGTGGTTTAGTGGCACAACATCCCTAGGTGCTAAATTAATATCCAGATGCTCAGTACCCCAGACCAATTAAAGCCAGGTGGTTGATTTAAAGCTCCCTAGGTAATTCAAGTTTGCAGTCAAGCCTGAGGACCAGCACGCTAAGCTGCCCATCTTCGCTCAGCTGACCTTGTCCAGTAACAGCCACTTTACACATGATGAAATGACACTTCAGAAAGCTTAAGTAATTCATCCAAGGTCACAAAGCAAGAGTACAGTAAGCCAAAAAAGGGGATCCAGGGCTGCCTGACCCCAAACCCTATGCTGCATCCTCTACTTCCCTGCAGCTCCAAGTGTGCTCCATGAAATAGCAGCATTGCCATCACTGAGGAGTGCTTGGAATCTATCAGCCCTCATGCACACGTAGTGAATTTGCAGCTGGGGTGCATTGTGAAAGCCCTTCAGCAGATTCTGACACACCGTGCATGTGAGAACCACAGTCCCACGGCTTGGCCGCTCAGCTGTGGTTGGTGGTCTGGCAGCAGCACAGCAGCAGCACCCATGCATCTGACTCTAGCCCAGACCTCCTAAACCGGAACGTGCATTTGAAGGACTCTTCGGTGACTAGGGTGCACATTACCGCTTCAGGGTTGCTGTACATTAGAATTATTGTGGTTGCTGGAGTTCCCGATCTCACTGATCTGGGATTTCACCTGAGAATCTGGTTGTAAAACCTCAGGCGATTATAATGTATAGCAAAATTTGAGAGCCGTGCACTGCTGTTTGCCTATTAGTGTAGATGAGATTGAAGGTGACTTCCCTGCAGAGAGGGGAAGGAGAGGGGAGAGTGTGAGAGAGAACACGCACCCTGTGGAAGAGTGCACCCGGGACCAGGACGGAGACGGACCGGCACGGTGGTGGCCCTAGTGTCTATCCTTGCACACCAAGCTTATCAGCAAATGCTGGGCTCCCTCGAGCCACAAGGTGATGGGTTTATCCTTTGCAAAGTGCTGAGCCAGGCTGTCTGGGGTCTGCTCTCACTGGTGGCCCTGGCCTTTCGTACGCTTTGGTGTCCCTGGGGTTCAACCCCAATTTGCAGGGAGATCACAGGTCTGGAAAACACTGCATCCTTTTTGGGAGCTCAACTGTTCTTCTGTTCTTGAAGCACCTGCTTGGGGTTAGGGATTAGCGGTTGGAGAAAACACGGGAGAGCTTGGTCTGGAGAACAAAGGAGACCAGCAAGGTGGGGGTGATGAGGGTTTATTATATGTCACTCTTCTGGGGTGTTTTACAGACATGATTTTCCCTAATCCCCCCAACACAGATATACAATCAGCATGACTACCATTTTCTACACACCAGGAAACTGAGGCCAGGCGTAGTGGTGCATGACTATAATCCCAGAACTTGGGAAGCTGAGGCAGGATTGCTGTGAATTTGAGCCCACTCTGGATTACATAGTGAGTTCAAGGCCAGCCTGGACTACAGCGAGACCCTGTCTCAAAAACCAAAACAAGAACAAAAGAGGAAACTGAGGCACAGGGATGTTCAGTTCCTTATTGAATAATAAATGTTAGTACCTGGATTTGAATTCAGGTAACTGAACTTCAGAGCTGATGCCTAAATGCTAAGCTGTACGTTGGGGCCTGGAAGGGGACAGTGATAAGACCCAGAAGCCTGGCATGGATGCTATTTCCAGGGTAGAGAAAGGGTCCTCCTGCTCAGAAACATCTGCAGTGATCCCGCACTGTGCCTGATCCAGCACTGTGCCCGAACTCCCCCGCTGGCATTTTTTTGATCCGGTTTAAAAACAATCTCTCAGTACTTCCATTAAGTGGGAAATATGCTATTGAGAGAGCAGCACATGAAGTCCTTATGCCCATTATCACAGCACAGATTAATTTGTTGGATTAGCGGGCTGGGCCAGCTGGGGGAAAGAGTTGGAAATTTCTGGAGCGAGCAGAATTGAAAGGAGCTGTGTGAATCTACTGTCCCCTGGTGGTTACCTTGCAGAAGTGACAGTCGCGGGTGGCCAAGAGATGGAACATCGTTTTCCCAGATAGGAGCACCTGTTAGACTAAACAGACTGAAGGGAATTTGTTCACAGGATCTTGTTCTGCAAGATTTGCAAAGCACAGGTTTTGGGGGGTTGTTTTGGTTTTATTTTAAAAGGTTACTAAGGATATTTAAATTTCAGTGTATAAACTCCGCACAGGAGCACCTTGCTATGAGCTCACTGGTCGTGCGCGTGGTCTGGTTGCAGCACTTTCCTTGCTAAAGCTGAGAAGCCCATTAAAACTTTCAACACAAACTTGGGCACGTTGGTTGTTCTGTCTGTAGACTAGCAGCCCTGATATCGAGCCAGAAGCTTGTTGGTACCGCAGGATTTCAGCTGGACCTGGTGCTTCCCCGTATGTCTAGCACTCTGGGAGACTGAGGCAGGAAAAGCACAAGTTCAAGCCTAACCTGGGAAACTTACAGACTTAATGAGACCCTGTCTCAAAATTAAAAATTAAAAAAAGAAAAGACCAGGGATGTAGCTCAGTACAAAGGCCATCAATTCAATCTTCAGTACTGGGGGAAAAAAAGCAGTTTTTCAGTTGAGTGTGGAAATACATTCTTCTACTTCCAGCTTCCCAGGAGGGTAGTGAGTTTGAGGCCAGTCTGGGCAACTTAGTGAGACTCTTAGAGAAAGAAAGAAAGAAAGAAAGAAAGAAAGAAAGAAAGAAAGAAAGAAAGAAAGAATGGAAGGAAGAAAAAGGAAGAAAGAAAGAAAGAAAAAGAAAGAAAGAAAGAAAAAGAAAGAAAGAAAGAAAGAAAGAAAAAGAAAGAAAGAAAGAAAGAAAGAAAGAAAAAGAAAGAAAGAAAGAAAAAGAAAAAGAGAAGGAAAGAAAGAAAGAGAAGGAAGGAAGGAAAGAAAGAAAGCTGGAAATGTGGCTTGGTGGTAGAGTGTCCCTGGGTTCAATCAATGCTGCAAAAAGAAAGAAATGGTGCCTGGTATGGTGGAACACGCTTGTAATCCCAGCACTTGGGAGGCTGAGGCAGGAGGACTGCTGTGAGTTTGAGGCCAGCCTGGGCTACAAAGTGAGTTCAAGGCCAGCCTGAACTGCATGGTGAAACCCTGTGTCAAAGAGACAAGACAAGAAAGAAAGAAAGAAAGAAAGAAAGAAAGAAAGAAAAGGAAATGCAGAGCTTCAGGCCTCACCCAGGATCAGACCTGTATTTTTCAAGATCTCCAGGAGACATCCGTGCACACCTACAGACCAGGTTGCTCTGACTTCTGCAAGAAAAGCGCCCACATCAGCCCTGAACCACCCGAGCCTTGGACAGGTGTCTTGGCGGGTGGGGGGTCGGGGGGCACGGAACTCCTCGGAGTGATTCAAATTAACCTTTAACTCCAACAATCAGAGGTTGGGACGTTGCCCCAGGCCCAGCCGGCTCATGTTTCCTGGGCTGTAGAAAGAGGCCGAGGGGATGCAGATCTCCCAGGCCAGGTGTGGGCAGAAAGTGCTGCTCTCTCCTCTGCCCGGGCTGGATTCTCCAGGAGTGCAAAGCCCTCATTTGGTGAAGAAGAGAACAGGTGGCCATGTGAAAATGTTTTACAAATGGGATTTAACCGTTGGCCATTCTTGCTTTTAAGTGTGGAGTAGTCAGACATCATTATTGTCACTGTATTTGTTCAACACTTACTAAACACCAGCCACTGACCATTAGAAGCACTTTGCTGGTATCAACCCACTGACTGCTCGCCCACAAGGCTTTCTGCCGGGTGCTCTGTCTCCATCTTCCAGGTGACAAAACTGAGGCCCAGAGGATTTGTGAAAAGCTCTGAGCCAGGTGTGC